TATTATATTGATATGACTGACTGTTTCTTCTGATGAAATCAAATTTCATCAGACTATACAAATACATTCCTCTAATTCATTTCAATTTGCAATAATCTTATAGAATAAAGAATCATGCAAACACCTGAGCACATCTGCTCTAGTTACCTAGGTTTTTAGTCCATATTAATAAGGTGGGTATAACAATAATGTAGCTAAATTAATTGAAATTGCTTTCAGATATTATTCCAGAGAATTGAAATATAGCACTATGATTTATAAAAAAATTCAAACTTACTTCAATCATTCACCATTTGATAGGTAAATTTAACCTCGGAACTACCAAAGGGTAATTTTGAGTAAATGTTTTTCTTGACACAAACTAAAAAATATGTTTTGAATACCCTTTGAACATATAATTTTCAAATTCAAAGTCTGGCTTTTATCATTTCCATCTGAGATCGAAACACTACTCTTCAAAAGTCTATCTGGGATAAGAATACTCTGTATTAAGCCATGAATAAAAATAACTATGGAACTGTAATGAGACATCATAACAAATATTTTCTAAAACAAGAAAGAAGGTTATTATTTCCATTTGAATGTGAATAATAACTAATTTTGAAATTCAACTTTTTCTAAAATTACAGGAATCAAGAAGACCATTTGGAATGGCCATACATAGAGTGAGTGGTATGTTCTGCGAGAAATAGAATAATGAGTATGAGGATGAAGAGAAACTCTGAAAATTGTAATTTGGTCATATAAAAATGTTACACTTTGGAAAATACACATTCCTAAATTGCAATGTTTCATTTACAGAATTATTGTGTATTTGAAAAATAAAACATCAACTTATAATTTATAAAATATAATTTCACTACCCTGTATGTACATACATGATGAAAAGCTAGGAACATTATGGTTTTTTGGATGAGGCTCAAATTCCAGCCACCCTGTACATTTATTGAAATTAAAAATATACAGGATATTACATTTTGTTATAGATTTATATACTTGTTTTCAGTTAGGTATATTATGATCATAGTAAATAAAATTGTAGAAACTTCTAGACTATAAAGATGAGTTTATATATTAACAATTATAGGAATCAACAATAAATAATCATGAGGGTGTTTATACATATCTGATATAAATTGAGAATTAAATGTTGAACATCTTTTGATTAAAGATCAAAATGATGTTAAAAAGTGATTTTGATCTCAACAATTCATGAATCCAAAAAAATTATCCAATTGAATATCACCAAACTTCACTTGAATAATAACAAATCCAATATGATCATTCCTTCTATTAAACTTTACAAGTTCATAGTTGTTAGTTTAATTCTTAGTTTAGTTGAATCTATAGATCCATCATGAAATTTCCGAGAAATTATAGACAACTAGGCTTTCAAAAAACATATCAACTTCAGGAATTTGCATTTTTTCTCTAAACAAAATTTTTACCTTTGAAGAAAAACAAGGAGTTATAGGTAGCTTTTTAATATGCATTTGTGTATGTTATGTTACAATTATTTTGCATTACAAAATTATTTGATGATTTAGTTTTATTTGAAGCACTCTTAGTATAAAGTAAATAAGTATAAATATTTTCCTGAAACATTAATCTATGCCTGAAAGGATTCCATGGCATTTCTTTTTATTTTTTAAAAGTCTGTCTTCCCTGCTCTATTTTTGTGCCATTTTCAGTGAGAAAAACATAACAAATAGACATTAAAAATGGAATGTCCTCACTGAAAAATTCTCCTATACATATATCAAAAACCTGAAACTAACTACTTTATGTACTCCTAATTATTATGAGACGGGTGTGAAAGCAGGAAAGGATTTTCATTTTTGCTCATGGTGGTTCCTTTATGTGAGTACTATTCTGCAGGAATTGAAGATGCTCCTAACAGTGAAGTATCTGTTGATTCCTAAACCACCCCATAATAATGATAATGTTATTGCTTCTAAAACAAGTTTACAGCAAGAGTTGTATGGTGTATGAAAAATAAGATCAAAATTAGAGAAAAAAATACTACATGAAACATTAAGATGGCATGAAACAGTGGATTATTCATTCATGAGGAGACAATATGAACATCATTCATTTAATATACATAATTAATATGATTCACTATTATAAATGAACTTAATTGAAGACTTAACCTGAGAATATTTACATATTTGAGGAGGTGGTACATTCATTCCAGATTTTTGGGGATTTTCTCCTTGTTTCTATAAAATTAAAATGTGAATATTATTTCAATATATGTGTAGTAAGGACAAATCAGATGATTTGCCCCAAAATGTCATTGTTCAAAGAGTTTTTCTATCAGAGAGCCTAAAAGAAAAATTCACTAGCTTGTCAGTGACAAAAGAAATAAAGGTATATAGAAAAAATATCCCACAACGTCCAAAGCTAAGTGAAATTTGGATATTTTTTCTATTTACCTTTATTTCTCTTCTTCAAACCTTTTTCAATACAAATTGTCACTGACAAGCTAGTGATTTTTTTCTGTAAGGTTTTCTGATAGGAAAATTCTTCAAACACAGTGACATTTTGGGGCAAATTATCTGATTTGTCCTTACTACACATATATTGAAATAATATTCACATTTTAATTTTATAGAAACAAGGAGAAAATCCCCAAAAATCTGGAATGAATGTACCACCTCCTCAATTACCCTACAGACAGTATTAATAATTTCACACTTGTTAAACACACTCCATGCAATGACATGATTTGTGAACTATAAACTACCCCTGAACAACCCTCCAAGATTTAAATACACTTGAAATTCTCCTTGCTACAGGTTTTTTGATGAAAATTAATTATTCTTGACCAGCTGGATATGCTCTATAGTCTATAGGGTTATAGGGTGAAATAATTTGCATGCAGGGTGTTCAACAAGTGTGATATTGATCTACATAATAAAATCACTATCAACAGATTTTCCTTATGATTATTCTGCTTTGGAGGGGTAGTTGTGGGATGATTTGAGAAGCATTATTTTAGTGCTAGGACCCTTTCAACCCCTGCAGAATTCTCACATGAAAAAATCACCAGCAAATAGATGTACTTCCTGTCATATTCCATGAAAGAAAATGGAAAATCATTGCCAGAAAAACGTAGGTGCTCCCACACAACTCTCTATGAGTGAAATCTAGAAGCCTATTCTGACTTGATTTCACTAAATAAGGTCCCTACCTGATTATAATCTTCATACATTGAGATATACACTTTTTTCTGTTATTATTATAAATCTTCTATCATTGCCCCAATTAGAGTAACTTGTAACTTGAACCATTTTTGATATCCTGTGAGAGGGAATTGAATTGCAGGATTGCCTTGCTCATTGGATAGTCTATGCATCTATTTCTTCTAGCATAATGAAGTTACCCTGTCTGTCCTTTTTTGTTATGGTTATGCACTAGGTATCTGAACATTGAATAGGAAAGTATTAGTTCATGAGCAGTACACATGTGATCATATTTACTTACACACCTTACCTACTCCATCCTTTCAGTTTTTAAGATGTCATTGAGTTTACATAGTACTGTGATAGCAAATACATTTTCTGTTGAGGTTTGGAATTTCATTTCAGTTGAAAAAATGGCACTTCATCCCTTCATCCAATTATAAATTTCACCATCATAAAACTGCATTTGTTGGCACTCTTGTGACTGGCACTATTCTCACTTTTGATCACCACTGAACAAATTCAAAAATTATTGTTGAAAATTTCATAATGGTTTTCATTATCCATACTCTTTCCCTTCATAAACTTATTCCAGGTATATTTTGAACAACGTAGGTATAGTTGTAGCTTTGTATTGGTATTCAGGACATATTCAAAAGTCCTACCAGTGGCTTTCTGAAACTTCAAACAACTCTTCAGTATAAATAATCTAATTAGGTACAAAAACAAGACAAAAGCATACCTGAAATGTTAACAGTGATTGATTTACAAAGGACTCTCCCACAATGGTCTGAAATCTGAAAGATTTTCCAGATTTATGATACTAATAACAATTCACACCTCATTTTCACTGTTTTCTAGGTAGGATAAGGCACTATCTTTTTTCATAATTCACTGTCTGAAAAAAATTATATCAAAACTAGTATGAGATTTTACCTTCCACAAAGCAAACCTAGAGTTGAATACACAAGGAATGGAATGAGGAACAATGTTTTTGCAGTTGTCTGAATTTTAGTAACCATATTGCAGCGTACATATGTACGCTGCCATATTGGTAAGATTTCCGTGGGCCCAGAACTAGATAATTCTACTCTGTCTATACTTCAATGAAGAATGAAAGAATGATTAATAATTTGAATTTTGAGTGAAATAAATCATCAAAATCATGAGTTCAATACCAAAATTTTTTTTTTAAATATTTGTAAACAATTATGACATATGTCAGGAGATTCCTAACCCACAAAACGGTAAAAAGTCATGAAACAAATGAGGTCTCCGTTACTGCGGGCTGGTGGCGCCCTCAAACAGTCATACACTGAAACGCTTGATTGGACTGACATGTAGAGGGCCAGAGCTGACTAGATTCTTTTTTCATCTAGCCGACATTGGTTAGAACAATGTCAGAACCAAGGACAGAACTGTCAGATTTTTCCCTACGATTTTTGAAAAAGAAAACAAGTTTGAAGTACGTACGATTGTGAATTGTGACGAATTCGTCATAATTATATTTGATTGATATTTCTCTGAATATCCTTTGTGATTATTCCATTTTCTTATTTCCGGGATGTGTCTCCCATAGTTTTCCATGTGTCTGTGGAGGTGGCCTTTATCATGAAAAATTCAAATAGTTGTGTAATAAGATATTGAATAATGGTTATAATTGAATATATTTATAAACATTAAGATTTTTTGCTGACCAAGAAAATACCTAGAAAAATCATCACGTATTAAGATTGATTCGAATATGTTGGATGGTAATTGATTTTATATTGTTAAATTATACTAGGTAGATAATTTCACCATTTGTTGCAGTTATAAGAAACTTTTTGAGCAATGAGCCACTTCCGAATAAAGTCATAGAAACAAGACCAGATTCACTTTCCTCTAGAGACATCTATGCACGGGAAGATGGCCTGGTACTATATCTACCTCCCCTTAATTTGCAAAAAGGTGCTAAATCTAACTATGAAATTGTTCTGCACAGACCAACCACAGAAACACTACATCAAATTTTCAGGTAAAAAAACATCAGCTTTGATCATCTCAACAACCTAATATAAACATTATTCCAGCTTATACCGCACACCCAGCTTAGAAGAAGCAGAAGGTAAATTCAGAACTCTTAAAGATAAAATTCCAGTTTTCATAGAGGTATCCAAAGAGGTAAAAGATTGAATGTGTGTGAATAGATCTGAACAAGGATATCAAATGATGTTTTTGTAGATGTGCAACACAAATGGTTTACAAAAAATTTGTGATGCCTTGGACAACCACCCATCCTGGACTATAGCACACCTTGCAGCATATTTTGCATTATATGATGCCTTTGGCAACACTAAGGTCAATACTTTCTTGAATAGCACAGACATAGAAACAGGAATGTCCCCTTTGCAAGTAGCTATTTCTACTCAGAATTTGAAAACTGTCCAAATAATGGTGCTTGCAAATTGCTCTCTAGAACATCTTGATTATGATGCCAACTCAGTTTTTCATTATGCTGCCAGTACCACCAAAGAGATTATTGCTGTAAGTCATTCAATATCAACTCTATTTTTTCATTTTAATAAATATTTGATTTTTTTGCAGGTACTTGCACAAGGTTCCCCTCCAAGATGCCTCAATGGCCTCAATAAGAATGGTCATACTCCCCTTCACATGGCTTGTCTTGCTGACAAGCCTGATTGTGTTAAAGCTCTTCTATTGGCTGGGGCTGATGTCAATATTACTGCCTTGAAAAGTGAAAATCCCAATCAACTACAGGTAAGTTGAGTAACAATTACTGATTGAATTGAATAAAAACCATGAAAAATGAAAATTGTTCCCCAGAAATTATTATATAGGTAGCTACAGCAAAATATTTATTCCACAAATACATAACACAAAACAATAAGTACATAAAAAAATTAGTGTCAAATATATGAATAGACAGAGAGAGCAAGAGAGAGGGAAAAATGTACTTTATTGTCAAAGAAAAATACTTTCTTATTGACAAAGCTTGTACAAAAATATAGTCTGTATAACTCTTGAAAACATGAGAAAAAATTGAAAATCAAAACACAAATACACTGAAACACAATTTGAAACAAGTTCGCATGTCATGTATAAAATATAAAATATTGCAATCTAAAACAGGATTCTACATGCATATTTACAAAGTTTGTTGAAAAAAAAAAAAGTTCAATGAATATAAAAGTTATACCACAAAAATTATGTACAAAATAATAACCTCATAAACAATAGGCTCTGGTCTGCTATTCTTTCCCCAAACACACCAGAAGATACCAGAACATAAAATAAAACAAAACTTTTCTTCAGAATCTAATAGCTCAATACTGATTGTGCTAATGGCTTTTCTGGGTGAGAAATGGCAAACTTTCAGATATATTTGAAATAGTCCCAGAACATAGTTCAGTTCTCATTGTGGCAATGATTCTTCTGAGCTAAAAAAATTAGGCACTAGAATCATGGTCAAATATCTTCATGATGGACATTCCAAAGTTTGGTGATAATGTGCTACTTGACTGATAATGAATTATTGGCATTCAATTACTCCACATTCCACATTGTCCTTAGGGATAAACGCATTTTTGTGTGAATAATTTGTCTAAGTATTGTTCGGAATTGTTGAATATCAGAGACTTGGCAACATGTGCTGAATGTTGAGAACTGACACAACGCCCACAATCCTTGCCATGTTGTCACGTTCACCAGACCAAATGTCCAGTGTTGCCAACAACAAATTTTAAAAGTGGCTAGATGATGATTGAAAAAAAGCTAAATTAAGGCTAAACATTTTTTAGCCATTTTTTGGCAAATCTAGACATTTTTTTGCAATTTCTCTAGTAAGAACACGGAATCTGACGGACTATGAATCTGACATTATTATAATACAAATTAAATATAGATATACAGATATAAAATGACAAAATGAGCCACTCGAGTTCTCTGGAATTTCCAGAATACTTAAATGTGACGTCATTGTAAGAGTTTGTCTAATATTTTGTCTAACTCAACTCCTTCCTAATCAGTCATCTGGATTATTTGATTATTGAGTATCTGTATCTAGTATCTCAAATCTCATACATCTGCTTATTTGTCTAAATTCTAATTTACCTGATTCGTGATAAATAATAAATAATAAAAAATATTACAATATGTTATTAGATCATTGTAAAAATCTCATTTCTGGTATTGTATTATTGACGTTTGACGTGATGTAAATTTTTCAATTTGTCAAAATGTCATAATCCATAGAAATACAGACTAAAGTGGTCTGCATTTGACTTTTGGATCATGAATTTTATACTGAAGGATGTTATGAATATGAATATATTTTTATAGAAAGTTGAAATTAAAAATAGCTAGAAAAAATGGCTGAATGGCTAAATTCAATTTTCAGTAGCTAGACGAGTTTTAAAATGGCTAGAACTAGCCATAAAATGGTTGTGTTGGCAGCACTGCAAATGTCCTTTAGTGTGAATTAATATGATTGTTATTGAAACAAATTTATCATGAACAATAAGCCGCAAAACATAAGAGGGAATATTTTAAGAGAATGGATTTTTAATAGCTAATTGGGAATAATAACAATACATAATTGGGAATTTATGAATTAATAAATAAATAATATTCCCTACTTACTTTATCATTACATAAGATCTTATTTGCTGTAAATGTCGATAGCCGTTTGAAAATTACTGTGGCATAATTGGTGATTTTTTAGGACCTTCAAATCGACCGAAAAGATCTAAAAATTTATGGAATCGTGAAGTAGTTTAGTGATGATTCTATTTAAAAAATGAAAATAGTCCACTCGAATCGAAATCAACATTGAAATGCATCTTTTGGGGTCATTGTTCAGACTTTCGACCCCTTTTGGCACTTGTCCTTGCGATACCGCAAGAAACCCAACTCAGGTTGTCACATTTCTCAGACTCATTTACAAGTATAAAAAGAATCGAAAATGTTTCATGTAATTTTATGTTTTCAATCAAATTTTAATACGCAAAAAGCGATACTCAGACATATCATCAGATCGACTGCCACTGGATGGTATTAGATAAGAGTCCTTTTCTATATTCTGCTCTTTACCTTTTCTATATTCTGCTCTTTACCTTTTCCATATCCCTAATAGCGCCTTATTGTAAGATACGATTTTAGAGGTTAGATTTCATTGTTGCCAATAGGTCGCGTGCACGATGACCGACCCTGGAGGTAAAATATTGAAACACAACCTTACTTTTTTGTGAAACATCGAAACACAACCTCACTTTTTTATTTGTTTACATAGGAATCAAAGGATTGAAATAGTTTTTCACAATATTTTGGCATAAGAATCGTGTTTTTTGCGCTACTCATTAATTCAAGCATGCCTTCGCATTGTGCTGTTGTACAATGTACAAAAAATGCAGAGAGAGACGAAGGAATATGATTTTTCAGGTAAATAGTAATCTCACATAGTTTTCATTATGAAATTTTGTCATTTCTTATTGAAATTCCTTCTGCCACTTCTGTAATAGAAACTAATACAGCTAATAGATTGAAAATGTCTACAACACACATGATCATATTTCGTTAGCATGTCTGACCAGTCCTCCCATTTGATTGCATGAATCTAATCTTCTTGCATTATTTTAGAAATTTCACGAGTATTTCTATTTAATGAATTGCCGAAGAACACAGATAAGTATGCCAAAATAATTGTAAAAAACTATCTCAATCACTTGTAAACAAATAAGAAAAGTGAGGTTGTGTTTCAATATTTCACCTTCAGGGTCGGTCAACGCATTTTTTGTAGAATAAATCGAATTGAAAAAAACGGATGGAGTTATGGTATCCTCGAATTATTAACTTTGTTTCACTGTTTGAAGATGTACCTATGATTTCTGTGAAAGAAATCGACTTGAGATAACTTTAAAATAAGCTATGCGTTATCGCCGGCGACACCTAGTAAAGGTAGAAAGTATGCGTAGACATCTACGGAAATCGTAAATTTTATCATGTGAATACATATTATTATATCCTGTTAGTGCTTAGCAATGAACTCAATATATGTTATATTGAGTTCATTGGTGCTTAGTGGTTTACAAGCGTCTAGCTAGACCAGTGAATCTTTCAAACCTGAAGGTATTCAGAAGGTTATTCGGGTTTTTATGACTTATATGGTAATTTGAGGAAGGAGAATATCTCTTCTGTATGAAAACGGAAAGTAGTTTCAACCTAACTGGTCCTAAATGAACCTTTTTCCTGAAAATTGTTTTAGTGAAAAAAATTAAAAAAATCATTGACGCCTTGCAGAGATTGAACCCCAGTCACCACCGTGGAAGTCAAAAAAAAAAAAAAAATTAAATTCATTTATTCGTTGGCACAGTTTTTACAATACAACACATATTACATCAACATATTTGTGTATAATGGGCTTGACATATCTGTGAGTATGACTGAACGTCCCTCCGCAGTCGCAGAGGTGGCTGGTGTTAGCCAAGGAATATGAGAGGATATGTGAGGTGTTCGTCGCAGTGACCTATCTCCTAGGGCTAGGCCCTTTATACAGGTAATCTCGCTGGTGGTACCCATAGGGTGGGGGAGCTGCTCGTGCGCGATCAGTGTGGAAGTCAGATACACAGACCACTGAGGTATCGCTTTACTCGTAGTGGGTAGTTACTCAATATAAAGAAGGAAGAAATATTACTATGTGTTGTGGGTGACGTCACTTGACCTCGATGTTTCAAAGATTCGATGGTCTAGCTAAACGCTTCTGGCCTTGACGGACCGAAACAGTTATTGACCATTCTGGAACACGCGATTTTGACATGGTTTCTTGAGGGGCACACAAATTATCTGTTAGGTTACCTTTGATGAGCATAGCCCTGGCCATCCCTGCCACATCCACAATATAATAACAGTTTCACCAAACAAAATTATGAAATTCTCTCTGGTTCCAACTCGGATTCCAAGGAAAACGATCCCACTAATTCTGGTTTTATATGACAAATCTTGACAAAATATAATGTTTGCCCCTCAGCAACCTGTCAAATGACGTAATTCTGGAATGTTTAATTGTCTCGCTTCGGAGCGAACGTGAAAAGTTTGGTTATGATCGATTCCGCGTACCCTCAGGACCGCGTCGAGCCGAGTTACGTCGGCAACTATCTGCAGAGCAACCCGAACACCCTGTACCTGAAGGACATGAAGAATGGCGGCACGCCGCTGCACTGGGCGAACTCCAGGCAGGTCATCGAGGCCCTGATAGACGTCAATTGTCACATAAACGCTTTGAATTTCGAGCTGAAGACCGCTCTGCATGTGATGGTGGAAAGGAACAGGTAAAAAGGATTGTTCGAAAACGGATTTTCAGAGGTTTCTGGTATATACATGAATACTCAGGTATAACTCTTTAACTTTGACAATCAATAGAGGGTGCTGAAGTTTGCGTACATTTTTGGTTTTAATTTTTTATCACTGTTGAAACAAAACCTAGCACTTTTCTATCGGCAATATGAACTGTCCTTATCAATACAGGATGTCATTTTTTTCATATCCACTGTGTAACAAAACCATGGTTTGTTATAGGTTTGGTATAGGTCAGTGATCGCTTATTTGTTCATTTAAATCTAGCAAAGAATTATGCCACCTATGTAGTGTGGGTTGCCAATGTTTGCCATACATATCGCAAATAATAACTAGTTTTCAAAACCGATTCGATCGCCACAAGGAACGGTTTTTGCGCGTTGTTTTTGTGGCCCTTATGTTTTTGCTTCTGGAGGGTAAATCAAACGATTCTGCCCAAGTAATACTTATAACACATCCTGTCAACTGCAACTTTATGCATATATTATGAACCTTTTTGGTTTTTCCATTCAAACTATCCTGTTTATATTTAACGAATAGTAAAAAGTGGTCGCCTGGTCATTTTTAAGGTATGTTTTATTTGTTTATTTTTCTTACTTAGCATTGTTCTTTATGTGGTCGAACTCATTTTATATTTTCTATACCGGTAAATGTTCGTTGCAAATCGAATGTAAATATTATATGGCAATGATCGGTGATCGGGTCATTTTTAAAGTTGTAGATGATTTCGGAATAAATGCTGTCGTCTTCTCAAAGTCCAAAAATCAGTTTGACCCACACCAAAGCCCTGAGATAAGTTTCATTACAGCTGATGGAACCCTACAGATTTTTTCCTACCTGACCTACTTTCAAATCGCTAGGTTTTGTTTCAACTGAGATAGAAATTGAAACCAAAAATGTATATGAACTTGAACATCCCATATAATGAAAACAAGTTTCTCCATGAGAAAACAAAGATGTATCTAATGTTTTAAGTTTTGCTATTGATTGTCAAAGTTAGGCGAGTTGAACCTGTATATGCACTGTTTCCTTATGGTTAATTTATTTGTGGATTGTGATTAATATAGGTAATGGGAATTATTCAATTGTTTTTGTTTCTTACTAGGCGTGGCGGAGGCATTTGCCACGGGTGCAAAGGATCTAGGAGCGCACAATATAAAATTTTCCATTTTGAATATAAATACTTTTTCGCCTTAAAGCTCTATATTTCAATCTGGCATATGTACCAGTTGTACAACATTATTTGACAAGTAACGTAAATCGGGGATTTCTGAAACGGCCGGGGTTATATGAAATATTTGTATTTTTTTTTAATTTCGCGCTAGAATTTCGTGTTTGCAACATTGGTGATAGGAATCATCATAGAATTGTAGGTAACAGTTCATAGTTCCTAGGTATATGATTCGTTCGGTCAAAGAAAATGAAGTGGTTTCTCAAAATAATTATTTAAAATTCCGCAAAAATAACATTTTTTTTAACATACGAACAAAAACCTTTGTGGAAGAAGAAAACTATTTGTCGCAGGTAGGTGTTTCAGTTGAATTGATACTTTCAAATATACTTGACAGCCTCTTCAAAGAAAAACAATTAAAAAAATATTAATAGTTTTTCCAAAAATGAAAAATAATCTCAAATGGATTTTTCCAGGCCTATGAACTATGCCAAGACACTACTCTGTTACCTAGGTTATTTATTTTTTTGTATTCTTTGTATATAATATCTAAGAATTCATATTTCGTTTCTAATATTTCTTATTTATTCTTTCAATATTTTGTCTATATTCCTATTTACTTCCATGCCCACTTGAAATGATTTTTCTTCTAGTTTATAAACCAATTATCCGATTTTCATGATTTCTCGAATATTCTACAAAAAATGCTATTATTACTATATTGCTTTGAAATCGTGGAAAGTCGAGGTTTCCTCCAAGTTGCTATGGCCTATTTAGATTAATTAATCATCTGAATTCACATTCTTTCAATTCCAACTGATTGTGCTAGAATTATAAACCATAACATATACCCATAACAATAATTTCTCTTCGGAATATTACCCATCACAACTGCACTTTTTTCTAGGAACATATCATCTGAATTCACATTCTTTCAATTTCAATTGAGTTTTTGTTTGTTTCGGATTCATTATAAAGTTGATCCACGAAAACACTGGAGTCATAATATTGCCATTTTCTGCGCATGATCTGAATTCACATCCTGTTAATGAAATTTCTTGATTGTTTTGCTAAAAAGAGAATTACGAGTAGAAATTTTCATGAATTTTGGGTATTGAATACATATTTGACCCTTGTGAAATATTCAAATTCGCTCAATTTCGGATTATTGATTCACATCATTCGAAAGTTATTGAAAAGGTGATAATTTTAGCGTTTGAATTATTCACTTTTTCTATGAAGAACTCATACAAAAACTATGAATCAATGAAGAAAAAAAGAATTAAGGTTTCTGGTAGAACTACAATTTCATTGGTTATTCTTGAGTTATCACTAAAGTTATGTTTTAGAATTGGAGAATGTGATTGGCGAATTTCATAATGATTCCTTAAATTAACCAATCATCATCTATTGTTCTTGAATTAGGGCTGAATGAACGTTAATATTTCCGAACGTAATGTTGAAGGCTTCTGTGCCAAAAATTACAAAAAATCTCTTATTATATTTGAACTTTGAATTTCTCATATTTCATGCAGGTTAGATTGTGTTGTGGCTCTTTTGAGCAGACAAGCGAATGCTGATTTGGGAGATAAGGACGGTAATACCCCGTTACATTTAGCCATAAAAGGCAATAATCCGGCAATTATCCAAGCCCTCATAATTTTCGGAGTCGATCTGGATATTTTGAATGACAAAGGAGAAAGTCCACGACATTTGATAACTGCAGGTACGAAAAAATCAACTGTAATTTCGAAATTATTTCATTTGTCCACATTATATTGAATATATTGATCATTCAAACTTTTTTCTGAACAGTGTTCACTCATATTTTGACTCTCCCTCGTTCAATTAATTAGCCTAGATAACAAAGAACTTTGAATGCAAAATTTGTAGGCCTTTTCTCTAGGTTTTTCTTGAACCATCAGGCTATGTCATCAGAAACATCACGAGCATTAGTTTTCACAACTTTTACATTCAAGGTTTTTTTGGTAACTAATAAATGATAATTGTTCCCCCCTTTATCGCTTTATTACAATTTATATTAATTTGTTTGTTGATGTTCCAAAATTCATTCAATTTCAGAACAGGAACCGACTATTCTATATTTAATTTCTGCCGTTGGTGCAAAAAGATGTACATCGGATACGCAACGTTGCACAGATGGTTGCAAATATGATGGCAAGTACGAGGGAATCCCTCCTCCAAAGGTCAGTTTTTGCATAATCATCCAATTCGTTTTTTTGTGTTTAGATTCATAAAAATCAGTGCCTCTATATTATTCCTAGAACGGTTGTATTCATTCGGCGATACGGCCTGGTATTTACTATTCACACCAACTACCTTTCTCTTTTCAAATTATAATCTGAAACTTGTGATTGGGTTGACACTCAGAGTAACTAGTGCTTTATTTTGCTTATTAGTCCAATAAATGAAGGAGGAAAAAAGGCAAAGTTAACGTTAATTACGCACTATTTTCATCTTCCGGTTGGAAGTAGCTTTTGGTACCTCATTAAACATGAGACAAACTTTGACTGGAAAACGCGTGCGATGGCGGAGAAAATGGCCCCAAAAGACCAGGAAAATAGGTTTTCAGCCAATATCTCCTAAAATATGGCAGTTAGAGATTTTCGGGTCAGATAAAAATTGAAGTTCAGTTAATTTTCTACAAAAATGGTCCCTATCATTTTTCTCGAAAATTTGCCCGGTTTCGAGAAAAACGGCACGAAGCGCACCTCGAATAATGAGCTTCTGTGTTGTATGCCGGAGAGCACAGTCCGTGTATTTACACATCGGCGGGGGGACAAATTATTCAATAACTTTGTTAAAAATGCATATTTTCTCATGATTCAAAGTTAATGTGAAAGAGGAATTCTGCTGCTATCATACCCTGCGTGGCCGCATGGTTTGTAGCAGAAGACCCGAGCGCCACGTAGAGCACACACGCGGCGAACGACGGAGGAACGAAAGTAATAAATTATAGCGTGTACATTTAGATATACTGGTTTTTTTCCGGGAAATCAAAGGTATGACTTATATACATCGATGGAAAGGTGGGAATTCCCCCGTTACACTAGTTAAGGTGTTGAAATGTTAGAAATAAAGAGCACGGAGAAAAAAACCACCGAAAAAAAAAGTGCGTTTTTTCCTTGACCCCGCTTTTTCTAATTTTATTGAAAAATGGACTACTTCGTCTAAAAAAGTAATTGCACAATCGAAAAGTAGACCTTCTTAGCTTTCAAATGATGTATCATAGAAACCAATCGGATCATGTATAAATTTTTAATTGATGGTTGTTCACAAAATTTCCCCGCGCTCCAAAAACAGCAAAAAATTGGGATTCAATAAACAATGATTAAATGAAAATTTAAAAAAAATTAGGGTATACAAATTTCAGGGATGACAAAGGACCTTATGAGAACCCATAATCAAGAAGATTTTGAGTAAATTAGTGCAATACAAAAAAAATAGGAACAAATTCCTGGCGAGGTCAAAATTGACCGGGAGCAGAAAGTTTGACCCATGTTCCGATATGGCCAAAAGAGCCAAGCATGACTCAATTCACAGGGTATGATAGCAGCAGAATTCCTCTTTCACATGAACTTTGAATCATGAGAAAATATGCATTTTTAACAAAGTTATTGAATAATTTGTCCCCCCACCGATGTGTAAATACACGGACTGTGCTCTCCGGCATACAACACAGAAGCTCATTATTCGAGGTGCGCTTCGTGCCGTTTTTCTCGAAACCGGGCAAATTTTCGAGAAAAATGATAGGGACCATTTTTGTAGAAAATTAACTGAACTTCAATTTTTATCTGAACCGAAAATCTCTAACTGCCATATTTTAGGAGATATTGGCTGAAAACCTATTTTTCGGGTCTTTTGGGGCCATTTTCTCCGCCATCGCACGCGTTTTCCAGTCAAACTTTGTCTCATGTTTAATGAGGTACCAAAAGCTACTTCCAACCGGAAGATGAAAATAGTGCGTAATTAATGTTAACTTTTTTGCTTTATTTATTGGACTATATTCTCTTCTGCGGAAAAGACATCACATTCTACCATTTTAAGTATACATGACAAAAAATAGAACAACCTTTATAACACAATAATACACCCATAACTATACATAATTGACAGGAATTCACTATTTATTAATATATATTCATGAGTTACTGTAAGGTACGTAAGAAAATAAATAATATTGAAAGATTCTAAATGGAGGCATCGTAGATAGACACTTCAACACTCAAACACATTTTTATTTACTCAGGACGGCTTGTACAAAGATGAGCGTTTATAAAAATACAACATCGACAAGTGATTCGTTCTACGATATTAATCGACTGAACCTGCTTCAGTCTTTTATCACACGATGATTACGAATACCGATGAGTCGTCGAGGCCGCTTTTGATAAGGCATTCCTTAGGCGTTCTTCTCATTTACGGGGTGATTTGAACACCGTCTCTAACAATATGAATTATTTAAAGATGAGCGTGGCGGTACCGCAAAGTTTCGTAATAGACGAGCAATAATCGTTGTAAGAAATGTCATTTGTCGTTTTTGTTGTTATTGATGGTTTTCTGGTTGTTGTGTGTTCAATTTCCGGTGTTTCAGTAACTCATTTAGTATTATGAATTCATAGCAGACTATTTCGTGAATAAATATGGTTCGGCAGTGTCAAATCTTTGAAGGAAGATAGTTACAAATATCCTAACCTGAAAACACCCATAACTGTCAGGAATTCACTACTTACTACATCCATGAGTTACTGTAAGGTACGTAACAAAATAAATAATATGAATTATTTAAAGATGAGCGTGGCGGAACCGTAAATTTTCGTAATAGACGAGCGATAATCGTTGTAAGAAATGTCATTTGTCGTTTTTGTTGTTATTGAGGGTTTTCTGGTTATTGTGTGTTCAATTTTCGGTGTTTCAGTAACAAATTTAATGTTATGAATTTAAAGCAGACTAGTTTGTGAATAAATATGGTCCGGCAGTGTCAAATCTTTGAAGAAAAGATAGTTACAAATATCCTAACCTCATAGTTCACAGGTACGTAGGTGGTGGTCTTGATCGAGAACTTATTTTTGTTGATGAGAAACGTGTTGAATATACTGGAAATATCAAATAACCTCACGAAGGCGTTGCAAAATGGCGTATTATTATGTTACCGCACGTGACAGGTAATTTATTATGAATGCAAATTACACATACACATATTCATAGAAATCCCGATTTATCAGATATGTGTCCCTGAAAGGTCTGTACATCTCAAAATAATCTTATTTAAAGCAACATACCTCAGTCCGAAATTGCCCCGTTTCCGAGATACATGGTGGTAAAGTTAAAAAATAAAAATCGACAAGTACACTCTACTTTATGAAAAATCCATTTTTGCACTGCTAATTAACGGACCAAATTTCATCCACGAAGATAACGACAAACATATTTTATTCAAGATAGTTTAAATATTCTGGTGCGGCATCGAACACTAAAAACGAAATATCTCTAAATCGGATTACTTTAGCGGATTTTTACAAGGCTAACTTTCTTGCTTGAAAATGTTCAGAAAATTATTTCCCCAACAAACAAAGTCGAAAATTACACTATAAAAAATTTATGGTCATTCTGAATCATGCTTCAGATCGGTTTATTCTGACTTCTGGAATATGTGCTAATATGTTGAACAGACCTTTTAGGGACACCCTGTAAAATATATCAATTCTCTATCAATTATTCCGCAGAGTTATTTCCACCATTCGCGATTTCATTTATTTATCCGTGTTTGGCGTTTTTTAGGATTGTTGTTGGCGTATACTGTTCAATGATTCACTCTATTGTTATTTAGTCTGAGGGTAGACAACACAAAATAACAATTGACGGATGTAAACGATTTTCGATGTTCGATAGATAAGTTCAGCTAGCTATGAGAGAGAGAACATGTCTTTTCCATCTGTCCTTGTCTCCAGTGTTCCAATGTAAAATAATGAAATATTTGTTGACGACACTAGAAATGAAGAGAAATGGAAAAGAAGACTGAAATATTTTTTCCTCTCTCAGCACTAGCTGAACTCCTCTAAAGAGGAATGGAAAAATCTTGATCTGTGAGCCAGTGCATAGATGATTCGATTCAGGTGATCGGTCCGACGAATCGAGACATGCTCGACCCGAGCACTCGTCCGCAAATGTACAAGTGTTTGTTATTATCCCCACCATTCGTGATTTCATTCATCTATCCGTGTTTGTCGTTTAGGACTGTTGGCGTATACTATTAAATGGTTTATGAATGAATCGTGGTGTCTAACTATTGTTATTCAGTGTGAACACTCACCCGCAAGTGTGCAAGTGTCTGTTGGTACCCCCACCATTCGCTATTTCATTCATTCATCTGTGTTTGGAATTCAGGATTGTTTTTAATGATTTATGAATAACTCTCGGTGTCTATTCATTGTTATTTTGACCAAGGGTTGACGACACACAATAGCAATTAACGGGTGTGACCGACTTTCGATATTTCTCCGTAAAAGTAAAAATAAAAGTGAGGTTGAAGAGTTCTATGCTATAACCCAATGCATAAATGATTCGATTCAGGTGATCGGTCCGACGATTCGCGACATGCTCGACCTGGGCACTCGTCCGCAAATGTACAAGTGTGTGTTATTATCCCCACCATTTGCAATTTCATTCATTTATCCGTGTTTGTCGTTTAGGAATGTTGGCGTTTACTTTTTCAATGGTTTATGAATGAATCGTGGTGTTATTTAGTGTGAATACTCACCCGCAAGTGTACAAGTGTCTGTTGGTACCCCCACCATTCGCTATTTCATTCATTCATCTGTGTTTGGCATTCAGGATTGTTTTTAATGATTTATGAATAACTCGTGGTGTCTATTCATTGTTATTTTGATTTCGATATTTCTCCGTGAAAATAGTATAAATGATTCGATTCAGGTGATCGGTCCGACGAATCGCGACATGCTCGACCTGGTGCTCTCGGTGGCCGGCATGGAGACCGCCTCCGACCGCCATAAGGACGGCGGCTTCCCGAAGAGTGGCCGACTGCTCTCCCTCGACGGCGGCGGCATCAGGGGTTTGGTGCTGGTCCAGATGCTGCTCGAGCTGGAGCGGGTGTTCGACAGGCCGATCGGCCACTGCTTCGATTGGCTGGCCGGCACCAGCACCGGGGGAATCCTGGCGCTAGGTAAGTCACAGTGAGATGTCCGTTTGATCACTTCTTTTTTCGTTGTTTTGTTATTTCCTTCCTACCAACATCATCAGTCTGTCACTGAGAAATATCGCACTATACGAAGACAATAGGGTATACGCGTGTGAAAATTTTACACTGGAATATATTTTTGTTCCATTACTCATATGTATAAATGTCGAACTATACATCCGAAAAACATCATTAAGCACCGAATATTCAATAATTTCTGATTGAAAATCATAATATTTGCAACTTTCCGACCAACAGCCGAACTGCAGCGATGATTTCCGACTGGATGTGGCTGTTTTTATTTGTCATGTCAAACATTCATGGGAAAATATAGAAGAAGAATACCATGGCTGCATGTTCATGTCCGAAAGATTGAAAATAATATAAGAAGAGAAAGTGAGGTTATGATATCTAATAAGAAGGATCAAACAGGACTTCTTTTTGCATGTTGTTTCAAATATATATTACCACCTATCAATTTATATCTCATATAGTTTTCCATATCTTCTTCAAGCTGAAAACGAAATCACATATTACATTATTTTAATAACATGAGCAACATAATCATTGATATATAATGGGTTTCACAAGGACATACTTGAACGTATTCTCACTTCGAAATGGTCTTCACAAACAAATCCTCTGGTTTTCTCGGATAAATCATTTCTACTCATGGCTTGCAACCATAATTTTCTTTTCTCTTTATTTTTATCACTCGATCCCACTGGCAATGAAAGGAATATTTTTCCTGGCGATACTTTCGTTGATGAAAGGCATTGCGGCACTAGGCAGTATTTGGTATAAACATTATCATTTTTCATTTTCAAATTTCAAATTTCTGGCGTTTAAAACTGTTTTCTTCTCCTACCTCTTCTTCTTCTTTTTTTTTTCAATCTGAATCTTGTCATTCTGTCGCGCTAGTCTATGGCTGTGCGGCCTAATACTATGACGTCATAATATTAGTGATGGCCACTAACCCGTTTTCCTGTGACTTCATATTTAGCCTCATTTAAATTAAATTTGTTAGAGTCACAAGCAAATTTGAAATTAATCAATGATATCCAGTGGTATTATAAGGAAGAAGGAATATAATTTCTATTTATAATTATAAAGAATAATATTGTTGCATATTTATGTTGAAAACGGTAGCAGATTCGTTCCTGAAACGTCGAAAGATAAGAAAAAATCAGTATTTTTCCAATATACAACATAAAATATAATATAAAATAAATTGCTCTAACTTTTCCAGCGACAAAACCGAAACTCAACACTTGAAAGCATGTTTTCTCAACTTGCGTTGTCATAAAAGTATCTAGTGTGTGAAAACGTCGCGATATGGAGTCTTCAAGTGGAGAAATTGAAAAAACCATCAACAATAATGTGATTTAACGTATTCATTGAATGGGAGAGTCCACTGATTTTTTAAAACGACATCGTCGAGAGCTCTTTACAATGAACCACCAGTGAATATAATTTTGAATTTGTTCATTCATACTATAAGACGTTGAAAAAATGAATTGAAATATGTTCATTTTAGACCACACACTTCGTTCGTCATTTGAATTGGTGTCAATTCATTGGTGTGACTGGTGTGACATATTAGTACCAACACGCATATTGTCCTTGAGCTGACCAATCACACTGCAACACTACAGAATCGCAAGGTAACAGAGAGAAATAGCTGCAGTTCGGGACTAAAACGTCCGCGAGTTCAAACTCTATAGATTCGACTCCCTTCAACTTTAACTTATAATATTGATAAATTGAATGTAAATCATGATTCAACGAGGTTTGGACTTACACTCGAATATTTTTTTCGGGTCGAAGTATACTTTACATTTATAATAATTCGGTTTTTGTTGTCTTTAGGAATATTAAATTTCCAACTGAATTTGTTATCTTTTTTTTTACCTTCATGAAACCCCGCTTACAAACCATTTGACCTTGAACAACATTAAAATGTCTCCAATGGCACTTTTTTGCTTCGTCATCCCTCGCAATTAACTCCCCTCCCCCCCCCATATAACAAAGTTGTATACGCACCTGCTCACCCCAATAATTAGGCGTATCGCTATCACACTCGCCACTCGTTTTTCGCCGCATTGCCGGATTTCCGATGGAATATCACCGATTACACCTGCGCCGTCACGTCTCGCTCAGTACCCTGTCGCCAGTTACAGGGTTGCCGCCTTGCCCAGTTTTTCACCGCTAACAATATTATCAGTATTGGTTGATGAAAAAGTGTTTGTGCCTGTACTTCCGCATGAAGGAGCACGATTTCAACGTTATCCCGCCTTACAACAGCGACAGCCTCGAGACCCTCATGAAAGAAACCTTCGGAACGGAAGCGGTCTTGTGAACGTCGGTCGCTTCATGTTTCCTCTCCTTTTTCTCAAGATTGTTCGATTTGATGGATATTCGAATAAAGTTAATCGATTCCAAGTATTTTTGCAGTTAGAAACAGCCCAATCTTGCATCTTCCTATTTTCCCGGTTTGTTTTTACTTTGAAATTGATCTCATGTAGTTCGTGTATTGTCAGTTCCCGCTATTTTCCTCTATTGACCATTCTAGAACAGGTGATTTCGACATGGTTTCTTGGACTTCCCACAAACTATCTGTTAGGTTATCTTTGATGAGCATAGCCCTGCCCACATCCAGAGTACCATATCAGATTCACCAAACAAAATCATGAAATTCATTTGGGATCCAACTCGGGTTTCAAGGAAAACGATCCAACTACTTCTAGTTTCATATGATAGAATAGAATGGTTGCCCTCTAACGACCTGTCAAATGACGAAATAGGTCGCGTGCACGATGACCGACCCTAGAGGTAAAATATTGAAACACAACCTCACTTCTCTGTAAATCATTGAAACACAACCTCACTTTTTTTATTTGTTCACCGAGGTATCAAAATGTTGAAATAGTTTTTCACAATATTTTTGCATACGAATCGTGTTTTTTGCTAATAGAGACAACACACACGATCATATTTCGTCAGCATGTCAGACCAGTCCTCCCCTTTGATTCCATGAATCCAATCTTTGTGCATTATTTTAGAAATTTCTCGAGTATTTCTATTAGCTCCTATTGCAGAAGAAATTCCGATGAGGAATCAGAGAAATTACAAAATTTCAAAATGAAAACTACATGTGAGTGACTATAGTAGGTACTTACTTTTAAATCATATAATGTACCAACCGGATTCCTTCGTCTCTTGCTGCATTTTTTGTGCATTGTACAACAGCACAATGTGATGGCATGCGCGATTTGATGAATAGCCGAAAAACACGATTCGTATGCCAAAATAATTGTGAAAAACTATTTCAATCACACTTCAAGTTGTGTTTCAATGTTACACCTCCAGGGTCGGTCATCTGACAGTTCTTGCACACAAAACATAGGTCGCGTGCACGAAGACCGACCCTGGAGGCAAAATATTGAAACACAACCTCATTCTTCTGTGAATTATTGACACACAACCTCACTTTTTTATTTGGTTACAGAGGAATCAAAAGGTTGAAATAGTTTTTCACAATATTTTGGCATACGAATCGTGTTTCTTGCGTTATTCATTAATTCAAGCATGCCTTCGCATTGTGCTGTTGTACAATGCACAAAAAATGCAGCAAGAGACTAGGGAATATGATTTTTCAGGTAAATAGTAATCTCACATAGTTAGCATTATGAAATGTTGTCATTCCTTATTAAAATTCCTTCTGCCTTCTGCCACTTCTGCAATACAAGCTAATGCTGCTAATAGATTGAAAATGTCTACAACACACACGATCGTTAGCATGTCAGACCAGTCCTACCGATTGATTGCATGAATCCAATCTTCTTGCATTATTCTAGAAATTTTAGGTATATTTCTATTAGCTGATCCTATTGCAGAAGGAATTCCGATGAGTAGGTACTTACTTTTGAATCATAATGTACCATCCGGATTTCTTCATCTTCCGCTGCAGTTTTTGTGCATTTTACAACAGCACAATGTGATGGCATTAGCGAATTGATGAATATAGCGGAAACATACGATTCATAAGCCAAAATAATTGTGGAAAACTATTTCGATCACTTGTAAACAAATATGTTTTGCCTCCAGGGTCGGTCATCTGACAGTTCTTGCACACAAAACATTCTGGAATGAATAATCCATTTGTGGTTATGTCTGACTGTCACTGCTTGTCTCTAAATAATTTTACATCTTTCTAGCGATCGCCTCGGGCAAAACGATGAAAGAATGCCTGTGCCTGTACTTCCGCATGAAGGAGCACGCCTTCAACGGCATCCGCCCTTACAACAGCGAAAACCTCGAGACCATCCTGAAGGAAACCTTCGGCACGGACACAGTCATGTCGCAGATAGAGCACCCGCGCGTCATGGTGACAGGGTGTCTAGCTGACCGTAAGCCGGTGGAGTTGCACCTTTTCCGAACGTACGCCAGTCCTGGGGATATCCTCGGCATGAAGCACGATTCACCGTACGAGCTGCCGCCTCCGCCTGCGGAGCAGTACGTGTGGCAGGTGGGCAGGGCGACTGGGGCTGCCCCGACCTATTTCAGGTGAGGGGTGCTACCTTCAAAATCTGCATTATAGTTATAATGGGGTTTTCTGGTCTTAGATAGTATCAGTTTCAATTTACCTATCATCGAATCAAAGTCACAATAAAGAGAAAAGATGTTACTTATAGTTTAATTTCAGAATTTACTAATAGCACTGAGTTAGACACTAAAGATTCAGCTGAACATTTGAAACCAATGAACTCGGTATAAACAACTGGAAGGGAGACGGCCGTTCTCTCGAATAGCACAAAGTATGTCAGGGGCAGCTGCAAAAAAGATAGCATGATTTACGGTAACCTGTCTCTTTCCTACTCGTGTTGTTTAATGGTGAATTGGTGTTTACGTTAGATTACTCTAGTTTTTCTTCTCTCATCTAAACAGCCAAGAAAGTGAAGACATAAGTTCATTGTCTTTGGTTATGTGAAATATCTATTCATTTGGCGTGTTTTGTTTTATAAAAAGGACTGAAATTGTTGGTGTCAACACTGTGAACTGATGGTGATTTATTGTGTCGTCTTTGGATGCAAGAACGAGCAAGACAAAAGGAAATTGTCATTCCATGGGTAAGTTGAATATTGTTCAGATTTTTGGAGATATAGCTCTTGAAATGATCATCAGTTAGGTGTACCAGAGATTATACAAATCTCTGGGTGTACAATGTTCCCAGTCTCAGAATATGTTCAAAAACTAAACCTATATTATTTGTCGAAGTTAGATACTTCCATGACTTTTCCATAAACATGTTAAGTAATATTATTTGTTGCAGTTTTCCATTCAGACATTCTTGAATTATGGATTGAGGCAGTTCATAGAGAGAGTTGGACTCCATCTAAAACCAGCAAGCTTTGTGGAGAGCATTTCCTGCCAACTGATTATTCATTTTGACATACCAGGTACTGCTAGGTTATTGAAACCAGATGCTGTACCCAGTATATTTCCATTTCCTAAGCATTTGTTACCAAAAAAATGCTGATCCTGGAAGGAAAATAAGAAAACTCATAGGTACCTAGTTGATTAATAATGAAAAAAAGTATGTTTGTATGTACTAAAGGAAGATGTTTCTCATATTATGGACTTTGATTTGCCTAGGACTTCCAGCTTCCAAGTTTTGAAGTTCATCAATAAAGAAACCCAAACTGTTCCATTGGATATTGTATAGAGAATTGTATTTTTTCAATTTCTAATCGGGATGTGTTTGTAGGCAGTGACCTAATGGAAAAATAGGAACCTATGGAAATTATGCTCAAAATAGACCTTAGCTACTCAATACCATTCAAGAACCTCTTTTAAAATTTTTCCTATCGTTTTTCTTTTTCTTCTGATAGTGCTGAGACATTGTGCTTCGCTCACCCTGTACAATATATTGTGATATTTGAATGAAAATATATGATTTCAATTTTGTATTCATTTGACTTCCTAATCCTGTAAGAATATAAATGAAATTTCACTTTTGAGTCAATAAAAAAATCAATAATACATTTTTAATGATAATTGATTGCAATATTTTCCTTTTTCCTATATGAATATTTTTTTCAATCACGTTAACTCTTAAATAAAAGCAAAAAACGAGAAAATATTTCAAATAATGCGAGCCAACATAAGATAGAAAGAGATATGTATCCGTAAACACTGCGGGTTGCCTAAACAATATTTTTGCCTCACTCATCGTTCACAGAGGGTCCCTTCCAGTTGTTTATATTGAGTTCATTGTTTGAAACAGTTTGTAGGAATTCATTTCACAACACTCTTCCAACGATTATCATCATTTGGGAGTGGAAGCACAGCAGATTTTCTCTCCTGCTTGTCTTGTCTTGTTATGTACACAATCATAATTAGTGCCTTATTAATACAGTCCTGGGTTTATTCATATTGAGTTGATGTAAATTAAAAATAAAATTGGCCCCAAAACTGACCCTTGTGGTACACCATATTCATCAAGGAAATACAAGTATTATTCACATCGCCATACTGTTTTCTATTCTTCAAATAATTTTGAAACCAATCATGAATTTTTCCTCTATTGATAATAGTTAAGTCAATAAAATATTATGATTTACAGTGTCAAAGGCCTTACAAAGATCCAAAGACAGAATGCCGCATTTGTGATTGTCATCTATTCGTAACTGAATATCTGAAATGACATCCATCACAGCTACATCTGTGTCTTTTGACCTACGAAATCCATATTGTTCACTAAACAATAGGCCGTTATTTTCAAGATAATTTATTAGACGGTTATTCATAATTTTTTCTAAAATTTTGGAAAAGATCGGGAGAACAGAAATTGGTCTATAGTTATTTGAATCATCTTTCTTCCCATTTTTGTGAATTGGTAATACTTTAGCAATTTTTATTTTGTCAGGAATTATACTAGTTTCATTGTAGCGAGATATAGGTATTTGCTTGACTTGAAGGGAGTGAAAAGTGAAATTATGTTGAACAGGCCCGTGGAGCAGTAGCTCTGGCAACACTGCACGTACATAATACAATTACCTACGATTGCATTCAATTGTGTGCCATTGTGTGTGTGTATTGGTGACCTGCTGTAACAGACGAAATCGAAGAACTCTACAATAGCTGTGAAAGCTGCAATTTAACTATTTTATTCCGATTTCGACATCAAACTGACATCTAGAAATAGTTGTTGAACTAGTATATTTACATATAGGCTATATTCGGTCGGAAAGCTATCGCGAAAGGCCCGCCTTAATGCACATACATTCTTTTAAAAGAATCTCGATTTATCAGAGACATAAAATATAAAGAATATCAATTCTCTGGCAACGATTTCAGAGAATTATCCCCACCATTCATGATTTCATGCATCAATCTGTGTCTGCCGTTTACAAATCCCGTTTTCTTCAGAGCCTTCGGGCGATTCCTAGATGGCGGCCTCATCGCCAACAATCCCACCTTGGACGCCATGACGGAGATCCACGAGCACACGTTGGCCCTTAAGGCGAAAGGCAGGGAGACGGAAGCGGCGCCCGTCAGCGTCGTGGTGTCGCTGGGCACCGGCCAGATCCCCGTCACGATGGTCAAGGGCATCGACGTGTTCAGGCCGGAGAGCCTGTGGGACGGCGCCAAGTTGGCCATGGGGCTGTCTTTCCTCGGTAGCTTGATTGTCGATCAGGTGAGAGGAGAAATTATTATGATGTAGAATTTTATTTATTTATTATTCATTTTTAAAATAACATACATATCAAAATTGAGACGTTTGAATATTGTAACATTCAAAAAAAAAATTAAAATTTGGTTTTTGGATAATGCAAAAGAAATTGATAATCTCTTCAAATAATTTTTTTTTTTTTTTTGTTTGTGTGCTTTGTATATATTGAATTTATAATCAATATTTAATCTAAATATTTTTAAGAACTTGAAAATTTTTTACAAAAAGTTTATAATAATTATCTAATTCACACACAGGTCAATAACCTATGTGAAGTAGATAAAATTTAGAATTTTTATAATATTAGAATATGTATGTCTTTGTAAATGTATTCATATGAGAATAAATAAATAAATAAATAAATAAATAAATATCAGCGTACTATATCAATTTTTTTATCGCTTGGAGCGCACGAAAGGAAATCCCTATAATGTTCAAAGAACATCGTGCGTTCCTAGGGAGGATAGGGACAGGAGGTAGGTATTGGAATTTTTTTTGAACTTCTTGAGATTATATGTTGTTGGGAATACTTCCTCAGGCAATGAATTCCAGACCCTAGCCGTTCTATGTATGAACGAGTTTTGATAAAGTGCTGTTGGACATCTTTCGAGGTTGACAACGAAAGAATGTGCTGACTGGGCTTGTCTAGTTCGTCTCACTGGTATTGCTAGTGAAGGGATGATAGCAGAGATTTCCGAAGAACATTTCCCGTGGAAGTATCAATAGAAAAGTGAAAGGTCGCCGACCTTTCTACGGTGTTCCAATTATGTTAAAGAGTGAGTGAGTGTGGCGTCACTCACCAGGCGAATGGCTCTTCTCTGGATGGAATCTAAGAGCATCAGCGTATATTTTGGTGCTGAACCCCATATGTGGAAACAGTATTCTAGAACAGGCCGTATCTGCGCTTTGTAGATAATGAGAAGCTGTTGAGGTGTAAAGTAGCTTTTCGCACGGAACAAGAATCCGAGTTTTTGTGAGGCAGCTTTTGCGATGGATCTGACATGATTATCCCATGAAAGATTGTTGCTGATGGAAATACCGAGCATAGATATGGTGGGCTTGTTGGGGATGGTGGTGCCATACATTACAATATCGAGCATACTGAGTTCCGCATTTCCAGAGAAAATACAGGCATGAGTTTTGGTGGCGTTGAATTCAACTAGGTTGTTGGTTCCCAGGCTGTGATTTCAGCGAGGTCTTCATTGACAGCATTGACCTGCGCCGTGAGTTCATAGTTTCCTGGGAAGAAATGGGAATTCTGGAAGAGAACGCAGTATGGAAGGTACTATCATCTGCAAAGCTGTGGATGGGGCAAGTTGTTACTCCCAACAGATCATTGATATGAAGAAGGAATAATGTTGGTGCCAAAATTGATCCTTGTGGAACGCCGGAATTGATGCCAATGGTATCAGACGATACACCGTCCACCACCACGTGAAGCGATCTGCCTGAAAGAAAACTCGATAAGAGATGGCATAGCTGAGGTGGTAAGCCGTATGTTGTTAACAGCATTAGTAGAAAGCGGCAAATGGAAAAAAATGTCAACAGCCACAACGATGTTACGATCATTTATAGAGACCCTGTATGATTGAAATTGCTATCAACACCAAATACCCCATAGTGGAAGGAGAAGATGGTGTGCTCAACAGAAAGCTCAAACTCGTCTTGTTCTGCGCATGACTTCAGCTGGGATATAACTGTCATTGATATTATTTGTTTTCGTGATTCATGTCTTCGAACTTCAGATATTATATAAGTACTAAAATTGAATGAAATAATTTCGAAATGCCGACTTGTTTCGTTTCTGGTTATGGAAATACAAAAGGCACAGATATTGCATTTTTCTGCTTTTCCGAGAATGGAGACCTAATGAAACGATGGGAGCTTGCTGCCGACAGAATATAAACTCAAATAATGGTACCTAACTCATATTCCTTATATTCTTATTCCAAAGTATTCACCTATCATATTATCATCACATTCATATCACAGCACGTATTTCTTCAAAACATTTCCATGCAAAATGTTCCCAAACAAGTGCGAAAGTACGGTTCTTGAATTACACACCTCCAAAAAATCATAAATATTTGAAACAAGATACCATTCCTACAGAACATCTTCCGAATATCAAGTCAGAAATAATTGAAAATGAATTCAAAACTCTTAATTTCTCACAAAATATAAATTGCAGCAAAGATTTGAATAACAAAACGGCAAAAATTGATACTCCTGTTGTCGATGTCGAAGCAGAAGCAACGTCAACGTCGTTAACTGCTGAATTTTAATCTGTCAGAATCGACACAGTAGTGGATCATTCAGATGGGATTGGCAATGCATATTCGTATGTATTTGCTATTTGCGATTGCGAATTACCTCAAGATCACAATTTCCAGAAATAAAGGAAATAGTAAAATCGAAGGAATGGGAACCTGTTTATATAAATTGAATTATTTCTAAACAGATCAAGAAACTCATAGAAATTTCAATAAACATGATTGAATCCATTGCGCACGCCCATGGCAACGGTATCTGTCTGTGACTAGCAGCTGATATTGGTATCCCAGATGACGTCACATAATATGCGCGTAGGCACACCATCTTCTCCTTCCACTATGGAATACCCTTATTTCCGTAGGCCACCGCCAGCGAAGGACGAGTGGTGGACAGGGCGAGAGCGTGGTGCTCGACCATCGGCGTGCCGTACTTCCGCTTCTGTCCGCAGATGTCCGAGGAGGTGGCCATGGACGAGAAGGCGGACGAGAAGCTGGTGCGCATGCTGTGGGAGACGAAGGTCTACATGCACGAGCACCTAAGCCACGTGCGGGAGCTGCGCGACATCCTGAACAGGGGGTAAAGTGGAGGGGGGATATCATTTCGATCTGAGCTAACTGAGATATTTCATAGATGACAACTGGAAGTCATCTCTACGACGTTTGTTGATAATGGTGAAAGATTACTCGTGAAGGATCATGTTTAGGGCGTATACAGGATGTTTCAAAAATTGCTGACCTCCTTGCTAGGGTAGGTAGAGAACACTGCAAAATTAGTTGGGTTTAAATACTGTCTGTAGGTTAATCGAGGAGGTAGTACATTCATTTTACTTGATTCTTTGGGATTTTCTCTCCTCGTTTCTATGAAATAAAAATATTCGTATTATTTCAATATATTTGTAGTGTCACTGCGTTTAACACATTTTTCTATCAGGGTGTCTAAAAGAAAATAACAGTAGCTTGTCAGTGACAATTCGTTTGAAAATATTTTTGAAGGAAATAAATATAGGTATATTGAAAAAACATCCGAATTTTTACTTATCTTTGGACGTTTTGGGACCGAATCTGCTCCCGTTCTCAACATGTAAATGCAAAATATTTTTCTTTGAAAGTTGTGTTGCTTATAGTTTGACACTTTTCATATGTCAACATTATGACATGATGAAATGAATTAGTGAATGAGAAATCATTCACTCAAGTTTGGATTTCTCTTTGCAAGAGGATATGTTTCTTGACTTTAATTTTGAATTGGGTGATATTTGTGCAACTTTTGATGTCATCAGATAATTTATTGAATTCTGAGATAGCTCCTTGAGTGAACTTTTTTTAACCAAGTGTAGAATTAGCAGCATCAAGATGAAACAAGTCATATTGTCTAATATGATGTTCATGGATTCAGTGGCGGCTCGTGACTTTCATGACAGAGGAGGCTGAATGATATGAGATTTATTGTGAAAAACAACTCTCTACTCACCCAAATCAATAGCTTTAATGACATTCTGTTCACCAGTTAACCTGAACTTGATACTTGAAGAGATGTGTTCCTGTGATTCGCAGTGTCTATCCAATCCGCGAGCCAAATTTTTCGAATCATTATATCCTAATCGCCCCCAATAAAGAACAACAACAACAACAAAATAGCTTATTCCTTACCTCAGATCCCGTCAGCCAGATATATTTTTTATAATTATCAGAATTGAACGAACGATTTTGTTTGTTACCTGTTACAATCAGATTTTTCAATTCTGGTGTCGGACGTTTGTTTTTCACAATCAACTCATCTGCATAAGACAAAGCACTGAATGGGTTCACCAAAAAGTATTCCACTAAATTGCAATCGTTTAAAACACTCATTTTTTAGAAATTTATAGAGCCCCTAATCATTAACCAAACATAAACATAAACAATGCCCGCAATTCGCGACGCGACACGCCAAACACGTGCTATTGGGGCGTATTCGGGCATTTTCATTGCGCTAGTGGGTTGCCCTCAAGGTTGCGCTTGCGCATTGTGAAGGAGTCTAGCCTCCTATAGATGTTGCCAAGTTGAATATTTTACGCGTGATTCAACGAGTGATGCGTGGGCAAGCACTGTTGCCAATTCAAAAATATTTACCTAATACAGGAGATAAAATCAAAATCCATGTATTTTGGTGTCCTCTTAATGAGAAAGTATAAATAATATCAGTTCAAGGAAGATCTCTGAGGAGGCTCAGCCTCCGTTGCCTCCTCTGAGGAGCCGCCACTGCATGGATTTGAGAATTCCTTACCAATATGAAGTTACATTTGAGGTGTTGGTTGATAATATCAAAAGAAATTTTGAGTATTTATCAGATGGTGCTCTTGCAAAGAAAATGTATTTGTTTCTTCATGAAGTTGATTTGATGGGGTGTCATATATGTCACATCAAATTTGGATATAAAAATATAATCTCGAAAAAAAAAATTCATACGATATGCCAGCTTCCAAAACACATCCATACAAAATTTCATTTCGATATTTTTCTACTGAGCAAACCTAACTTGTTTCGCAGTGTTCTACCTACCCTAGCAAGGGGGTCAGGTTTTTTCAGAAAAACCCTGTACAAGTCCATCATCAGCCGATAAGAAGTTCACGCAATATAGATGATTACTCAATACCTAGGCATTTTACATCGAAGTTTGAGAGCTGTTTTGAATATGTTGACCGACTGTTTTGAACAATTGTAAACATATATTCGGTTTTACTTCTTACAACAAATTTAAAATTGCTTATAAAAAACGATTAATATCAGAACAGCATCTACAGCTTATTTGATAACTTGTATTATGAAAGTAGTGGACTTCTATTCTTCCTTTTGAATGTTATGTGAACATATACAGTATGATGCAAATGTATGGAATACATTCATTTCAAAACAAGACGACTCGAAAAAAAAACAAAAACTAGAGTTCAGATCTTTTTTTTCGACGTATTTTTTCAACTAGACGACCCTTCGATGTTCAATTCCCAGTAGCAGACCTCTGCAAGATTCAATTAATCACATGATAATCCATTTTAATTTCAATCTTCTTATGCAACATTTTGACTGTTAAATAGTAGACCTTTCAATCAAGGTGTCACATGACCCCTATTTGTATTTGAAAAAATCGTCCATTACGTCTTTACTCCAACACCGGTGACGTAACATCTCTCATATGAATATCATGAGATGAGGCTTCAGAAAGTAAAACTCGTGTTTTTGGAATTTTTTCAAATGTCGCCCATTTCTGAAATAATGAATTTATTCCATACATTTGCATCATACTGTATATGTACATATTGTATGTCTTGAATATTTTTGTTATATGTTTGAGTATGTCAACATTATTCGCCAATATTCTAGCCTTTTGAAGTTGTTTGTTTCTATTTATTTATTTATTTATTTATTTATCTATACCATGAAACTTCAATAAACATTTTTATTATTATTATCATTATTAAGGTATGGAAATAAAAATAGTTGAAATTGAGATAAGGAAATAAGGAAAATAACAGAGCAAAATACGTCATGATTGTCAGTAAAAGTTGTTTTTCATATAAAAAAGTAATAAAAACCATTTGTCCGGTTCATATTTTATAATTATCCCAAGGTGACAATTCCACAGGAAAATATCAAACTATAATGAATGATGCGGCATCAGAAGTAACCAAAATTCCATAACTTTGAACTTTTTATCGGCTTATGATGGGAAAATATAAGCCCGAAAAATTTACCTTCACAAGTGATCTTTGATTATTCTCAATAAAAGTTGTGGAGCTGACTTGTTGAGTTACCATGGACTTCTTTCAAAGACGAAATATTTCACTTGACCTGAATTTAATCAGTTAACATGCATTCTACCGAATCAAAGTCTTTAAAAAGAACACATGTTAACTAATTCAGTTCTGTTTAATTGAAACATTTCAGTAAGTTTGGATTTTAAGAATACCTATGACTATCAATGTAGTGTTTGGAAATGACATTAGGGCACCTGATAATTTCGATTTCAATGTCATTCCCATGAGAAGCTGAATCTTTCGTTTTATTTCCGTTGAAGTGATGGGATCTGCTACATGTATTGTTTCTCTTTTCGAAATAAAAGCTTTCTTTTTCATTCGTTTTACAAAAAATACAGAAAGCACTCGAATCCTGCTTGTCAAAATAGAAACCCAATTGAGATCTTTCCTACCTTGAACAGAAGAGAGGGAAGTGCTCTCCTCTTCCATCTTCCTCTTCAATGCTACCAACCTGGCAGCATTGAAATGTAGAGAGGTCCGATAAATCTTTCATTGTCTAACCTCTAGTCTGCGCCACTGAACTATTTTCCATGTTATTCGCGATAGAAAATAGGACGTCACTCCACCTGACGGCAACTACTTGAACTCTGAGCGGTTTGTTTTGATGATGTGACCAATAAGCACAAACAAAAAACGAATGTGAACCAATAAAAACAAAGTAAACATGCTGCTTTGACAGCTTTCAAAAACTTCGATAGGAGGCGTACGCTTATTTTCCATCGCGAATAATGATATTTTTTCTTTCAGGAACTGACATATTTCACTTGGACTAAACCGAATCAGTTTACATGCATTCTAGCTAATCAAGTTCTTTCGAAATAACACATAATAACTGATTCAGTTCAATTCTAGTGAGATATTTCAGTTAGTTCAGATGTGAAATGTCTATGTCATAAATGTCATTGACTGACAACCTTTCAAATTTTTGAAATGAAATTACAGATTATATTATACTTATTTTGACATTTTTCGTTAATATCGTTAATTTGACACTCAGTTGAATTCAAAAATAGTTTAGTGGCATAAACTAGATGTTAGACAAGGAAAGATTTATCGGACCTCTCTATATTACAATGCGGCCACGTTGGTAGCATTGAAGATAAATATGGAAGAGGGAAGAACTTTTCTCTCTCATTCAAGGTGGAAAAGAGCTCAATTTGGAAAAAAAAATCATTATATTTTTGTGGAATAAATATTTATATTAGTCTACTCAACAGAATAAAATCTATCAATCTCGTCACAAAATTCAAGAATGAAATGTAGAAATATATCAATTTAAAGATCTCCTTTATATTGGTTGATTGTAATCCGTATAATTTGACCCCTACCTACAGCATCAACTATACGAGGTGGATAAAAAACTTGAAATATGAAAGTTGTAGGATTTCTTCTGTACAAATTTATTGGCGCTCCTTAAAGGAACAGATGCGAATCACAAAATCTTTTCCTTCTCCCCACAAATATACCTATAGTTTGTTAATGTTTCCTCATGCCATTTTTCACTTATTCAGTATTGAATCAAAGCAGCCAAAAACATTTAGATGGCTGTGGACACAACAGAAATGCCATGGAAACAAAACGAGTATTTTTTTTGACATCTCTAGAATAAAAGACTATTGTTATTTTAAGTTTTGACATTCGTGATTAAACCATAGAATTCATATTATATTCACCTACCTTCTGGGAGAAAAACATAATCACAATCAACGAAAAACAGTCTTTTATACCAAACCATGAATCTACAGTATGACCCACTTCTAATGGAAACACCCCTGTAGTGGGGTCATCTTCAGTGATATACACTGCTCGCCAACAGCCATGGAAACACCCCAATTTCCGGAAAATGATATCAGGAGTCAAAATAGGTCGAGAATCACTTCAGATTCGGAATCAGGACGCCCAATTCACTAACCATTCATATTTTTCCTGGAAAATTTTCAGTTCTGAAAAATTAAATTTTGTCGCACTTTTTACGGAAGCACCCCCATATCTTACGTAATTGACTTCATCTTTAAACTTTCCCTTCCTCCTGCAAATTTCAGAACCCTACCTCAACAATTACATGAGATACGGGGGTGCTTCCATGAGAAGTGAGACAAAATTAAATTTTTCTGAACTGAAAATTTTCTAGGAAAACTATGAATAGTTAGTGAATAGGGCGTCCTGATTCCGAATCCCAAGTGATTCCCAACCTATTTTGACTCCTAATATCATTTTCCGGAAATTAGGGTAGTTCCATGGTGTTGGCGAGCAGTGTATATCACTGAAGATGACCCCACTTGGTTGTAGAGTCCATTTTTGGTATATCTCTCGCACCAGCAAATTTCAGCATCCTTACCCAACGATTACACAAGATACAGGGGTGTTTCCATTAGAAGTCACACTGTATAAATAAATCAGATAACAATGAGAAACTATTCTCAATTTAAACGCAGTAAAAAGTGAGGTTCCGTGTAAAATGGTTTAGACTAAAATTGTGGGCGCGGTGCCAGATTTCATTTACTGATGTCAAGGAAACGATGAAGTTAATCGCTTTTATAAGAAATCTAGGATTACCCCGTACTGATTTCGTGTAGAAAAATATGTATTGCAGGTCCGTTCTAGATCACCCTGTAATGTGTTTGTTCCAAGTAAACAGATGAAAAGCGTTACAATGATTATGGAACATGCAAAACTCTTGTTCTTAGTAAAGAATGTTCAAATTGGTTTCCGTATACGGAACTGTTCAAATTCAAACGAAATTCTCAGGTGTCCC